AACTTGACATTATTCGTACTGACCAGTAATGTAAGCTGTTAACTTGACATTATTCGTACTGACCAGTAATATAAGCTGTTAACTTGACATTATTCGTACTGACCAGTAATATAAGCTGTTAACTTGACATTATTCGTGCGAACTAGTAATGTAAGCTGTTAACTTGACATTATTCGTGCTGACCAGTAATATAAGCTGTTAACTTGACATTATTCGTGCGGACTAGTAATGTAAGCTGTTAACTTGACATTATTCGTGGTGACCAGTAATATAAGCTGATAACTTGACATTATTCGTGCGGACTAGTAATGTAAGCTGTTAACTTGACATTATTCGTACTGACCAGTAATGTAAGTTGTTAACTTGACATTATTCGTGCGGACTAGTAATGTAACTGTTAACTTGACATTATTCGTGGTGTCCAGTAATGGATCAGTATAAGCATAATAGTCGTTATTAATTCTAAGAGACTAATAGTTAATTAATTATAGAAACTAATTATGAACTTATCGTGCTTTTAGCTAATACACCTGTATTATATTTTTCCATGTAATCATACAAATAACTGGATTTACTCATTTCTACGCTGTCTGTACTGGAGCAAATAAACAAAAACATAGCTGTTATGATTTGTAGTCTTAGTGTAACTTATTCCCAGCCTACTCATATCAATAAAGCTATGTCATCAGATATTTGTTACATGCTATGTCAGTTTTTATAAACAATTTCATATTTACAGTATTGTTGTTTCGTTATAAATTAAAACAATATATATTTCAGTTTTTATTGTTAGATTTTCAAGAAATGTTATCTACTAATAGGTTAGTATCATTTGTTTTTAATAGACGTTGATGGATTGAACTGGAATATTACTCAGCTTTAATTCACAGTATCTCAAAATACTTATGAATAAAAGGTCAGATTATAATTAGTATTTCCTGTTCTCCATGACTTAACACTGTATTTTAATATTTCAAAAATAGTAAAAACCGTTTGTTTGTTTGTAATTAAGCACAAAGCTACACAGTGGGCTATCTGTGCTCTGCCCACCACGGGTATCGAAACCCGGTTTCTAGCGTTGTAAGTCCGCAGACATATCGCTGTGCCACTGGGGGCAGTAAAAACCGAACGAAAAATGAAGACAACATACAGAAAGCTCATTATGAAATAAAAAGAGCAAACATTAAAAAGAAAGAACATTTCAATATGTAAGATGACCTCGTGTTTCACTTACGTTGAGGAAACGTGTGTGCAACATAATTTTTACTATGAGTGATTTTGAGAATACGAACTCATTGTTCTACATGAACAAAACTGTCAAAACTTAGAAAGACCTACGAAAATGACAAGTAAACAGATGGCTACGCATATGTTGATAGCTTTAGATAGAGAAAAAGGATTACTTCACACACAAACATAACTTTCGGTGTTCAACATCATGATATTTTAAACATTAATAAATTTATTATGTTAACATTTAAAGCGAAACTAACCAACTTTAGCATCAATACTTTTATAGAAGTTGGATAACAGCTTCAGAATTATTTATTGATTGCGGTGGGTTTGACTAATTAGTCTCTTTTTATAGGCGTTTTTTAAGCCACAAATTATTAAACTAATAAATAAATAACACGATTTTGGTTCGAGAAATAATTCGCTGTCTTATGACCAGACTGTTAGTTACAGAAAGTTCTTTCAAAAAATATCAGAATCAGAAAAATGCCACATTTTTGTAGTTTAGTTCCAGTTTTATACCTATACGATTCATTTATTATGGAGTAAAGTTCTGAAAATAAAATGTTTTGTACAATTTTCTCGATATGGATCTTCTGATCCCAAACGGAGTAGATAGTATGGATGAATCATAAAGTATTTCTAATTGCAGTTTAATTACAAAAGCATATCAAGCCAAAATGTGATATGTGTTTATAGGGGATTCTTCTATTTATTTTTGTTTACAACTTGTTCCCTATACTTCATCTGTAGCCTATGATAACATGATCGCATGAATGACATCATATATGTTTGCCAACAGCTGAGATATGTTTCCCAAAACAATTTCACCTAGCATCTTTTGGACAATTAAAATAACAAGTAAACCATGTTTAGTATTATACATATTTTGTTCATTGTTTCTTATTACTAATTTTGACGCCTTTAAAATATTACTGAAACATTGTAAAAGCTTATGCTTTGTTAAGTTAAGCTGTGGTTAAAAGTGTAATCCGTATGAATACCTTGTTAAATTCAGAGTGCACAATGCTATGCATTCCCCATATTTGAGTTTCTTACAGACATTTGTAAGGCCCAAATACTGTGTTAAATATCAACAAAGTTTCCATGTGATATCTAGAAGTGGGACGTTTATATTACCTCCATTACTATATATGAGATAAGCTTAATTGACTTGGTTTTTAATGTAAAGGCTATAGCTGTTTATACTATGTAAATAAACTTTTCTCTGTAATAATACGTCATTTTAATGTGTAGTACTATAAAACAATACAGAAGATTTGGTTGTTGTTATGCGCATAGCTACACAATAGACTATCTGTACTCTGCCCACCACCAGCATTGAAACCAAATTTTAGCATTGTAAGCTTCCAGACTTACTGCTGAGTAGAACGAGTAGCAAAAAAATTGACATTGAGCGAAAACAGAATGTGTGAAGAGAAAAATATTTGAATCCAGATATCATCAGATTACATTTCGTCAGAGTAACTTTTGTATTTGAGTTTCCTTTTTGTTAACTGAAATAAATGTGTTCCATTGGTCGTTCTATGCAGGATAAAATCAGAAACAAGTGTTTGTTTATTTGCTCCTTTGGAATTTCGCGCAAAGCTACACGAGGGCTATCTGCGCTAGCCGACTCTAATTTAGCAGTGTAAGACTAGAGGGAAGGCAGCTAGTCATCACCACCCACCGCCAACTTTTGGGCTACTCTTTTACCAACGAATAATGGAATTGACCGTCACATTATAACGCCCCCACGGCTGAAAGGGCGAGCATGTTTGGTGTGACGGGGATTCGAACCCACGACCCGCAGATTGCGAGCCGAGTGCCCTAACCATCTGGCCATACCGGGCCAGAAACAAGTGAAAAGGCGCCTAGTATGTAATTTAGTGTTCACGGTCGTAACAAACTCACGTTCTCCGGCTTCATACTTTGACAACAGAGATGTATTTTAACTCTAGGTGGATGTTTAGCCCTTGATAGTACAGACCTAAAACCAGAAAAATATATAATTGATTTTGAGTAAACTCCTTTTGCAAATACTTATCTGGTGCAGCAACTGCCATTAATTCATTTTAAAGTATTGATATAATAATAATGTTATGTAACATTAATTTGACTTCTGTGGAAGCAAAGCGTTATACTTAACAAACTCGGGATGTAATAAATGTGATAGTCAATTACGTTATTCGGTTAAGAGTAATCGCAGAGACCGCGTCTTTTGCTGACTGGTTACCCTCCTTGTGGTCAATAGTTCTAAAATAGGAATAACTATTCCTGTACTTGAGGTTCCTTACCTGCCATTTAGCCCCTGAATTCCATAAGGCAGCGTTCAAATAAAAACGAATACATCAAGTGCCATATACTAAATAACATCAAATTATACCTCATCTTATAAATATTTAATATCGAAAAGTAATTATGTTTTATTTGACAGTTCAGGATTTTAGTTAAACTAGCACGTTGCATGAATTTAACAGTATCTGGATTATATGTGATCCATAGTATCAATTATGTATTTCATTTCGATGAAGTAAAACCTGTGATATATGTGACCATGTTATTAATCCATTTCTTTTCATGTTTTAATTATACTAATTTCTTTTCACTTTATTTTTTTAGGAAGTAAGCACAGAATCAAACGAAACAATGGCATTCTGCTGGACGTAAAAACTCAAAAATTATTTGTAGATTTAATAAAACGCAATAATGGAGACGGAATCGGTCAGATCTGGACACAGTGTGCATTCTTCTCACTCTCGTCGTAGTAAAGGTAACTCTTGCAGCACTTCAAATCACCATCGGTCACGTGGTTACCGTCGATCCAACAGAAGTGATAGGTCATTCTCAGTAACTAGTGGAAGTAAGCGGGAAATAGGTAACGACCGTCGTAATGAAGAAGTGATTGAAGTACAAGTTCTGGCTCAAGATGACAACTGGGGAGACAACACCACTGCTATCACGGGTAACACTAGTGAACACTCCGTGTCTGTAGACGATTTTTCAAAGCTGGGGAAGGAGTTCGAGGAAGGCGTGTCATTTCATTGTCATAGATTGATTGGAACTGTCATTGGAGCAATGCTGGCCTTCTGTGCCTTTCTTTCGCCCATTGTTATGGTAATTCTTCCAAAAATTGAGACGTTAAAATGGAAGGTACAGAAGTGTGGCCCTGAATGTGATGGTTTATTAATTAGTTGTTCTTTCAAATTACTGATTCTTTTAATAGGGACATGGGCTGTATTTTTTCGAAAGCCAAAAGCCACAATGCCAAGAATATTTATTTTTCGCGCTCTCGTTTTAGCGTTAGTATTCATCTTCACTTTTTCATACTGGTTGTTTTATGTTGTGCGGATCGTGGAGAAACGTAAGAGTGATTACGAAATTTCGTATCATAGTATTGTGCTTTTCGCTGTATCACATGTGGATGCCTTACTTTTTATCCATTATCTGGCTGTTGTTTTAATGGAAGTCAGACAGCTTCAACCTCAGTATTTCGTTAAAGTGGTTCGTTCATCCGACGGCGAAAGTCATTGTTATAGTATGGGCCAATTAAGTATCCAACGAGCAGCAGTTTGGGTTTTAGAACACTATTATCGGGATTTTTCTATTTATAATCCTTATCTGGAAACGTTGCCAAGTAAAACAAGGAAACCTGCATCGGTTTTTAAGTTTTATGATGTTGATGGAACACCTAATAACACAACTATTAATGGTCAGTCTCGTGCAGTCCTGGCAGCTAGTGCTCGGCGAAGAGACTCTAGTCACAATGAAAGATTCTACGAAGAACAGGAATACAACAGGAGAGTGCAAAAAAGACGAGCAAGACTTGTAACAGCAGCAGAAGAGGCTTTTACCCACATTAAAAGGCTTAGAGATGAACAAGGTTAGTGCTGAATATACTTACGTGTGTGTAATATTTAATTAATTCACGACAAATAATTATATGTTGTATTAAATTGAGTACAGGAGGTTTGATGACATTCCGAAAGTCGTACTAATGGAATTAATTTCTGTACATTTAGTTAAGGTACTTGCTAATTCTTTCTCGGAAATGTTTAAGCTTAAAGTATTGTAATTAGAGTAGTGTTCAAGAGAGAAAACAAACACAGTATTTACAGTAAACATCATACTTAACTCAAACGTATTCAGTCATTTAAAAAAAAAACATTTAACCTTACCCACCTCATTAAAGTGTTGCTATATCGTAGATATAACACTAGTTAGCAAAATATCTGATGCAAGGGAATAGTGGAAATTATCGGAATTTGCTAAGTAAACTGTGCGTTGTTTAACAGCGTTATGTAGTGATCGTGAACTTCAGTATAATTAAATGTAAGATTTTGGTAAACAAGGTGTCATGGAAACTGAATTTATGCTAAACTCAACATGGATTATTTTGTCACCTGTGAAAAATATCTGGCTACTTCTATTACAGAGAGTTGAGTATATTATATTAAAAAGATTTCGCATATGAAAATCAATATCAAACATAGCCAATGTAAATTCGCGGTGGAACGGTATGCATAAACACTAGATGTTGACTTTGTTTGCGTTTCGTAGGTAAAGTGATACCACCAAAATTGATCGCTTTTGGAAAGTTGATGTAGTAATGTAGTAGCCCTTTTCGACGTAAAATATTCATACATTCAAATCATAAAGATATGTTCAGATCGGGGATTTGGAGCTTCGAAGACGGAGATATCCCCTGTATCTAATAATATTGGAAAACAAAGAAACATGGGTCAACTTGAAAAAAAAAACAAAGACCATCCATAAAGGAACCCACAACGCATCGCAGCCTACTAAAGTGTGTCTTCTTGTAACAAGTGAGAGTTCACGAGCGCAAAGGTCAGTGGCAAAAGCTGTCCAAGTGCCACAGGCAACAGTACGCAATACAAAGAAGAAGGATCACCGCCAGTTAAACGAACACAAGGTACGTGTGTAAAAGTTACAGAATGAAACGGGCATTTATACTTATTCCATACGAAGACATACCGGTCATGTTGCCAGAAGTAACACGTATGGATTTCTGTGCGATCGGATTGTTGAAATGGGTGCTAGATAGATTATGGATAGCCATCAGAGATAATTGTGTGCTTTAGATATTAGAGCCTTATGTCGGAGCCTTTTTCAATGTAAACTACACTGCAGGAATATTATTAATATGCAGAGCATGACCAGATTTGGCAACATTCACTGTAACGATGTGGTGAGGCTTAGAAATTGTTTTAGTATAACATAATCAACGTCAGTAATACCTACAGAAAAAAAAATAAAGATGTACTTTGATTTTGATTATAATGGCCACAGACATCAATCTTTGTTATATTACCAGAAATATTCTGAAGTTACATTCCTACACGACTAATTATAACTAATTATAAAATATAAACCAATTAAAGATCTGAACTAAAATGATTTGAGAAGTAATTTTTACAGATTAAATAAAATAATTCTGTATAACAAGCTGTCTAATAATACTTAATGCTGTAAATCAGTACACAAGAAAACTCGGACATATAATGATTATAATACTTTGACTCATCGGTTAAGTGCCTTCTCTGTTAACTGGGTCCGGCATGGCCAGGTGATTAGGGCGCTCGACTCGCAATCTGAGGGTCGCGGGTTCGAATCCCTGTCCCACCAAACATGCTCGCCCTTTCATCCGTGGGGGCGTTATGATGTGACGGTCAATCCCACTATTCGTTGGTAAAAGAGTATCCCAACAGTTGGCGGTGGGTGGTGATGACTAGCTACACACTGATAAATTAGGGACGGCTAGAGCAAATAGCCCTCGTGTAGCTTTTCGCGAAATTCAAACAAACAATCTCTGTTAACTTAATTCTCGCCCGTAATCACACTAATAGTTCACGAGGTTCGGCCAAAATAATAGACTTAGATTAGTCTAAATTCATTTACTAAATAACAAAGCAGCGTAATCGTCATAAGTGTACAGTTAATTAAAAGAATATCTAACGTTATTATATATATACAAAATCCGTTATGGCTAACAATGAGTGTCACTGATGGAGACATGCAACTATCTTTAGGAAGATAATTGGTCGATTTAGGCATGATTAATTATAAGAGATTCAGAGAAATCATAAGTATAAGAAACTGTCAGATGTATTGAAAATTACTGTTATTATTTAGCACTTATATATTTTCTGTCCTAATTATGGGAAAAAAGAAATAACTGATTGGTCCGTCCTCCATGACCAGTTTACCAAAATCCTCAACAATGTTAATTCAAAGGTTCTCTGATGGGTCACTTAAATTGTTTACAGAGAACAAGTTAATTAATACATAATGAATGTACTGTTTATAGACTGTTAAACACAGGTTACATGCTGGCTAATGATAAGGATATATGTTAGTAAGATTGATAGAGCAATGCATGCAGCTTGCTGGTAACCAGTGATTGAACTACAGACGTGACCTTGAAAGGTTAGTCCTTGATTATTGAAGACTAAAATCAAGTGTTGGTTGTTAGTGATATGTAAGCAACAACAAAAACTACTTGGTGTATAATCTTACACGTAGTCATTTTATTAATATCGGTGTATCTACAGATATTTTGTATGAAGCCTAGTGTAATTTACAGTTGTAAGATAACTGAGTGTTTTTTATATAAGAAAAACCGTAAGATAGTGATACGATTTTTTTTTAAAGTTGCATACTTAAATACTGATCAATGTGAAATTATATTCCAAATCTATTATTTATTCACGATAAATATTCGCTGTTAATTTGAAAAGGTTAATTAACCGTAATCATAGAAAACAGCTGCAATTCAAAAAAAAGAATAGTTACATCTCCTTATTTTGGAAATGATTAAGGATTAACAATGAGAAATTTAGAGAAATCATAAGTATAAGAAGCTGTCAGATGTATAGAAAATTACTGTTATTATTTAGCACTTATATATTTTCGGTCCTAATTATGGAAAAAAGAAATAACTGATTGGTCCATCCTCCATGACCAGTTTATCAAAATCATTAACAATGTTAATTCAAAGGTTCTCTGATGGGTCACTTAAATTGTTTACAGAGAACAAGTTAATTAATACCTAATGTTCCCCCTGTTGCTGAGTTTTAGTTGTGTCTTTTTATATGTTCATTTCATAAATTCAATGTTGTATACTTTACCTGATCAACATAGATAACTTGTTGCACAGCTTTGCACTCAAAGAAATCACTTTCCTTTATTTATCTTTATGAAATGTGGCCATGTTACAGTTTGGTTTGTGGCTTTGCACTCAAAGAAATCACTTTCCTTTATTTATCTTTATGAAATGTGGCCATGTTACAGTTTGGTTTGTGGCTTTGCACTCAAAGAAATCACTTTCCTTTATTTATCTTTATGAAATGTGGCCATGTTACAGTTTGGTTTGTGAACTAGAAACTAGCAAGCAATTCTTTACTTTTTTTCCAATGGCAAATTACAACTTTCTAAAAAACCCACATTTCATCTCACCATATCGTAAATAGTTGAACAGTTGATATTACTGACAAAGAAAAAATATTGTTTTTTAAATAGTTCAAGTTTGTTGATGTTATTATATTGAATTTATTCCAGCAGGAATCTGGGATTCTTTTCCATAAATTTCTTATACGGTAGTCTCATTTGTTTGTCTCTTGGAAACGACTAAAACCTTATAATTCAGATTATTGTCATCGTAATAACAAATGTTTAGGTAGGACCAAATTAGACCAGTAATTAATTTATACGTATTTAAATTATCATACGAGTACATTTTAAATACCACTTAATTCTCTACCCGTAGCCTCAAAAACGCACTCTGCAATATGGCGCCAAGTGTGTGCTGTAAGAGTGACAGTCAAATCCCGCTATTCGGTCAGACAGTAGTAGCCTAAAAAGTTGACGGTGGATTTGTTGACTAACAACCTTCCCTCTTATCTATCAGTTTAAAGTTAAAAACAGCTACGTCCAGATTGTACTTTAGGAGCTTTGCACACACAAAAAATGTAAAACAAAATTTTCTGTTAAACTCCAAGAATTACATTATGCTTTTTTGCATTTACGAAACATCATTGTTGTTATAAATCACATCTGATATACCGGCCTAACTAGAAGTGTGAAATGTCATAAAATGTCATGATTAGAATGCAGTTGAATACCCTCGATTATATAGGTCTATATTTTCGCTATAACGTATTGGTATCTAATCTACTCAGAACATTCCATAAAAATTAATATTAATTTTCTAATGTACAAGAAAAGAAATTTATACTGAAGCGCTTGAAAAACATTTTATGCCCTTTAAAGTATTGCGTGAATATTTACATAAGTATTTTCAGCATGACAAACTGTTTGATCGGTGGTAACTGATGTTAATGGCTTTATATTATTTGTTTATATTTTGAGAAATATGGCGTTAAAAAAAGAATTACAAGAGCAATAAAATATTTTCAGATTTGTTCACAACTCCAGCAAGTTAAAGTTTTAGTTTTTCCTCATCTCTGGAATTGTACATTCCTTGAATGTTTCTAAGACTTGACAACAGAAAAGTTTTGTTTGTTTTCATACCGACTTTTCACCCTATCAGTAGTTCGATTCGTTCAAAGACATGTGCCATGCATCAGTGTAAATATTACAATTTGTTTGTTTTCTAATTTAGCAACATACCGAAGGGTTTTCAGCGCACATCATTCCCTGGTTTGTAATGACAGACGAGAGAGAAGTCAACCGTCAACCGTTGACCTACTCTTCTACCGATTAATGGGAGTTTAAAAGCACTCTTACAGCGCACCCGTGGCCCCACAAAAGGGGATCTCGACTTGGAGAAACGATACGTGAATTATGGACTCTCGAATTCACTACCAGAGCATCTTAACTATTAGGCCACTTCCTCTCTTAAAT